GGAGGAAAAATATCACTCTGGAGCCCCACCGGTGCCCGACCGCTCACAGGAGAGCTCGGGGGGGATGAAGGACGTGCCTGGCGTGGGGCAGCTCGCTCAGAGGGATGCTGCTGCCTCTAACCTGCATCCCTTGGGCCAGGCTCCATCTCATGAGTCAAGGAGGGTGTTAAACACCCACTCCCCAGGGCTTAGCAAACCTTAGAAGGATGGAAATTATTTTTTTTAGCTTTGCTTTGTGAGCAAAGACCAAGGGCAGCCTTTTCTGAAGGACTCGGGGCTCATCTCCCTGGGCTGGTGGTGGGTGATGCTGCCTCCCTCTGCCTCCTTCTGCCTCCCTCTGCCTCCCTCTGCCTCCTTCTGCCTCCCTCTGCCTTCCTCTGCCTCCCTCTGCCTTCCTCTGCCTCCTTCTGCCTCCCTCTGCCTCCCTCGGCCTCCCTCCGCAGGGTTTTCTAGCACTGAGCTGCTCATCTGGGCTCCAACCAGGTGGACCAACCTGAACATGGGAAACAGGTTGTGCTCTCACTCCTTTCCTATTTTTCCGCAGCCCTGGAGGAAGGCTTGGCCGGAGGCAGAGGCGATGGCATTTTGGGTCCTCACCTACCCCAAGAGCATCTCGGATACAGACTGCATCCAAGGGCTGGAGCCAAGGACCCCCAGCACTGGGAGAGCTCATGGAGAAGCACGACGGTGCTGGGGGACGATTTCCACACCAGCAAAACACGAGAAGATGATATTCCACGTTGCTCTAGCTTGGCTCCAGCAGAGAAATCTGGTGTTTGAGCTCTGAACCCACGGAGATGTAACACCTCGGAGCCAGAATCCTTCATCTGAGTCCCCAGGATTGAGAGAAAAACCACACACACACCGCCCCCTCAAATCCCACTGCCTTTGGGATGCGGTTGGACAATGCCCACTCAAGGAGTGAGGCTGGAAGGCAGGGATGAGGATACGGGAACGGGGGAAAAAGCTATTGCTTAGGATCAATTCAGATGGTGGTGGGGAAAAAATAAATTGCTTAAGATAAATTGAGACGGAGTTTATATGGTTCAAGGACTGGATGCCAGGACAGAAACCCCAGACCAGCTGAAACGAGGCTTTTCTACTCCTCTCTCCCCAAACCACCCAGTTTCCAGCCGCCTCCTGATTAAACTGGGTATGATATCTCCAGCACCTCATCCCACCGTGTCTGGGGTAACGTGGAGAAGATGGTTTGGTGAAGTCAAGAGTAAATCCCCGAACTCTGCCCCAGGGGGATGTAAACCCCCACCTGCCACTAACACATCCTGGAGGGGAACCATCCTCACGTTTTCTTCCCAAAGATGCCTTTATGCTGATGCGTTGTTTCCCTAAAGATGTCTTTCAAGCAAATATTTCATGGAATTATTCAAAATATTTTGGAGGTTCAGCTGAAGCCATGGAAAAAGCCCAAGACTCCCATTAATGAAACGATCCCTGGATGGGAGCAGAGCTGGGTCGGGATCCCAACGTGAGATAATCCCACAAACCAGGTCATCCGTGGCTGGGGAAGCGCCGGATGGGTGTGGGGATGCTTGGCAGCACTGGGCACCGTCCGAGGGCATCTCAATGCAGCATTTCCATGCTGCTGGCGCCTGTCTGGTGCAGGAGCTCTGCCAGCTGAGTCTGCAAAACCCTTCTGAAAACCCTGAGCTGTTGCAGCTGCATCTTTGGCAAGAGCATCTCTGGTCCTTCGTACCAGAGGGGCTGAACTTCCTACCTCCTAACTGGCAAATAAAAAAAATTCAAAAAAAAAAAAAAAGGCAAGTGATGATTTTGGATGCACAGCCTTAAAAAAAGGGATGTGGCAAATACCTGACGTGGCAATCAAGTCACTGGAGGTCCCTCAGATTGCTCATGAAAAGATAAAACCTCCTCGTAACGCAGCACAAGGCATCATGTCAGGGCTGCAGAAGGAGATGTGCCACCTCCGGGCTCAAGCGCTGCAGGATCAGACCCGCAGCAGCCAGAGGGATTTGCTCTGAGCAGCTTCTTTCCTAGGACACGGGCATTTCTGAACAGGCTTTTGATTCCTTTCCTTCTTTTGGAAAAAGCACGTGTGCAGAGTGCTACGGGGCAGGGAAAAAAGAAACCGCTCGAAGACAAATCCCGAGCGATCCGTCTCATTTTCCACGGCCCTTGCTAGCTCCCCTCCAGCCAGCTTTCTCCCCCTGCCATCCCCCGTTATTTATGAAACCCTGGATCCTTCCGAGGCATCTACCAACTCCCAAATATCTGCAAACACCCACCGGAGCTCAGCTGCAGACACCAGGGCCCCAGCGCTCTCCGAATAAGACAGCACCACTAAAAACAAACCTCTTGTTTTTTTTTTTCCCCCTCCCCTCCCTGCGGTTCAACCCGAGACAGAAGGGCAGCTGTGCTGTAAGCCAATCTCGCTAGCGAGGGCTGCAGGCTGTCATACCAGCCAGGCCATTCCA